GAGAGAGAGAGAGAGAGTCAATCACACAAACCATCGACGGGTCTGTCCAACGGATTCTTGGCGGTGAAGAAGGCGAGTACAGTCTCTCCGGGATAGCACCTGATCTCGGGCTGAGTGGGCATAAAATTCCAGGACATCTGACTCGTGGTCTCTGCGCTGAACGTCACCCTCAGGAGGCGGTCCTGTTTGGGCACCATTTCGGCGATCTTCTTGTTCTTCTCCTCGTCGATGAAGGCTTTGCCGCCCTTTCCGGTCGCCTGACAGTAGATCCGATAGATGGGAACCGCGGCGTAAGTGCCGCCCAATACGATCAGCACGAATGCCGTCGCGTAGAGCATACCATCCCTATTGCGAGACTTGGCGGACAGTCGCCGGAATTCCCCCGTATTTAGCCACCGCCGCACCGGTAGTTGTACTGGTGATTGGCCACCACTGGCCGCAGTAAGATCTGGTCCTACGGCCCGCCACTGATGACCACCGATGAGTGTTGATAGTCGCCGGCCGGTGGCGGTAGTTGTGCTGGTGATTGGCCGCCCCCACGACCCGTATCGCAATACTAGTAACCACTGATCGCGAGTTGATTTAGTGGCCAATCGCCGGCTGATTAACGCCGGACACGTCTTCAGGTGTGTCCACAACTGGAGAGACATTTTTTGTTTGTTTCGCTGTTATCTCTTCGCCAACCGATGACCACAACTGCCGACTGTCTGTCTGTCCGTACGGTCTGTTTCCACGGACACAACACGAGTTGTGTTATAACACTCGTAATCACTCGTAAATCACGACTAAATTCAGTTATGATTAGCGTTTTGTTTGGGTTGTTGTGATCACATGTTTGCACACAAACCGCACAAGTGTTTAGTGTTGTTGTCATAGCGATAGGTATTGTGAGCCATAAATAACGTGTAGATTTTCTCAGCTTTAAAAGTTTTGTGGGACTGTTTTTGGGGTGCGGTTGGAAAGTTTTGCGGGCCGTATACTTTAAATATACTTTAAATTCATTGATTATCATTGATTTAATAAATTACTTGTATATAATGTTTGTCCTATTACTGAATAATAACATACATTATGTGGTAAATAGTTTAGCAAACAGTATATTCAAAAGTTAAAGTTTCTGGGTTATTTTTATTATAGTAAATTTAATCAAATAATAATTATTTAATTTTTAATTATTACAGAATATTAGCACAACAAAATAAAATTGCTAAATTTTGCGTACAACCTTGTTAAAACAAACAATTCTCAATACAACCATCACAAACAATTGCAAACACTATCTCTACAGCACAGGACCTCATAGTGGCGAATGGGAACTTCATGGCCATCGAAAGAGACATAGAGTGTATTATGACCAGGGTGCACTTTGCCCAACACCATTGAGCCCGAATGGTAGGCGCGGCCGATGTACAACACCTGGCCATCACTTTGTTCGCCGCCCTCAATGGCACCGTACGGTACCTCCCCGTTGGCCGCCGGCACCCATACCATGTCTTTACCACTGGGATTGGTCAGCACCTGGTAGTCTCGGTGGCCGTGTTCTGCGCCCCCGTACGCCACGTAACACACACCGTGTGAGGGGACCACCTGTTTTGTAGTACAAAATTATTGGACTAGGTAATTATATCGGGCAAATAGTATTCCGGTTATAATATTAGTAAACATTGTTTGTATAGATTTTATACTATAATTTCTATAGAATGCTACACTACATTATTGTACAAATACTAGTTACAATCTAGTTAATTTTTAATGACCATGGTTTTTCATGTAACTAATGTCTGGCGCGATGGACAGTACCTTTCCGGGAATGGTGTCCCCTTCCTGTACGGCTCGGCCAACGAATAGCGCTTTGCCATTGATATCATTGCCCCCTAAGACTGGTCTACCTCTGGGCAGTTGCCCGCTATAGCACTGCTGCCAAACACCCGGACCTGAGTATTGATTTTCTATGGCACACATAAAGCGATTTTTACATTACATTTTATGTGAAATATTATTTTATCAATTTCATTTTTATCAGTGCACTGTTAGATAGAAGTTTTTATAATGATCATGATAGTATTCAATTAAAAGTATGCTATAAATATGCCAAAATTACTTACCATGGTATATGTAAGCCATTATAATAAATTCAAGTATGGTATTAAATAATTTGTAGCTAAAACTATTTTTGTAATAAATGAAAAATCATTTAACAAAATTAAAACAATTAAAACTTGTTTATTTTCAACCTTGATTTTTTATACAGTATATCCGTATTATATTTTGTTTATTCAGTGCCTCATTGTTAACAGTAATACACTATTAATTACTTAAATTGTCTGATTTGTTAAAACATTTCATTATTGCAACAGAAGTAATGAATATAAAATTCAACTAAACGTCCCTAAAATTTATGCATTAATTAGTTATTAATTTCATTGTTAAAAAATTATTAACAAATACTTTTTAATGATAAATTTTTAATGACAAAAGGACTTGTTGGGCTATCATACACTTTATGATCATATTTTGGTTAACCATTTACAGCGCTGTTTTTGTACCATGGTACTTTATGTTTATAGTCCTTTTATACACACTCTTTGAGCTCATATGACCCATGAAATCTCATCACCGGCTTAACTTTTTTATTAGGTTTAATCATAACTTGAGTATTGAATTCAACCATTGAATCAACAATTATAAAATGAATAGCACACAAAATATACAAAGTTTAATGCAAAAGTTAAGCCGGTGATGAGATTTCATGGGTCATATAATGTATATTGTACAATGTTGTAATTTACTTGATTAAGGTCATTTTAACTTGCTCAAAAGCAATATAATATTAACAATTACAATAACCGATCCTATTTGACTTTTACATTTCATTATCATATTAAAACATAGATAATAAACAAAATTAAAATTGTAATTGATATAATTTATTTTAAAATGTAGTCGTTGAAACAATTACATGTTTTTAATATTAGTAATTTAACCTGGTCAAATGTTTTGTATACAAATTATACATAATATTATTGATAAACATCCTGAATTGCCTGAATATAATCTAGTGCAACTAATATTCTGTATGCATTCTGATTCCAGACTAGTTGGCTATCATATACTTTGACATCTCCTCTTCCGAATAGGATACCCGCCCCCTCCTGACCCCCCTTTCAAGTGGGCTAAAACCATGGAATTTCGAAATGACCCAAAATTTTCTATGTTCTAGTCACGTGATTTCAATAATTTTTTGTCAGAAAAAACTAGATATGTGGACCATCATTTGACAGTTTACAGAATTGATCTAGCTCATTCCGTTTGGGAGATATAACGATTTCTGAGGCGACAATTTTTGTTGGACGACTGGATAACTTGTAAGAATTAATCTAAACAATATTACTTATAAGTTAGAGAATAACATTTTATAAGAAATGTTATAAACAAGCCTTAATTTTAAACAGAAATAGCGTATCTACAAAATTAATGGCTTCAAAATATTGGATTTTACATCATAATTGATCTTGATCATTAATTTAAATCTAGTGGATACTACAGTAAAAACATACTATGCATTGTAATTTGATTTTATATTAAAAAACATATTTGAATCATGTCTCTTTGGTGAAACCAATGAATTAAATTTATTTATCAATATTGAATACTCAATTATAAATGTATTTTGTTTACTGTTTCTATATTGTCAATTTTTAAATATTGTAATAAATTGTTTCTTAAATCACAATAATTTTATAAAGTATACTAAATTGAAAATAATAACAATTTATTGAAAATAAATTTAAATATTTTATTGCAAAATGAATTGACACAAACTTGCTGACAAACCATTTGCAACTATTATGAATTAAGATAAAACACAAAGCTTGAATTTGTAATTAATTACAGTTTTTAAATAATCATTTTTGTTATAAATGATTACTTTTAATAAAATTAAATTTAGTGATATTGCTTAAGTAAAATTACTTAAAATAAAATTACAATTACTGTAATTGTCCAAAAATGTAAACATTTACAAACAATGTATCTTTGAAACAATATTGTATGTTTTAAAAAAAAATGAACATACAAACAGTCAGTAAAGTTAATTTTTTACAATAATATTATTTATATTAATTAAGAAATTAAACCAATTGGTTGGAGACATGCCTTAATTTAAATTTTCAACAAAATTGATTTACTGTATTTTATATATTAAAATTAATTTTATAAATATAAATACCTAATTAAGAAACTGTAATTAAATAAAAATATTTTACATTGTAATCCATCTTGATTAATAAATTCAAACTATTTGTACTTGGAAACGATCCCATTCGACTTTTACATCTCACTACGATATACAAACAACATACTTTAAATAATTAACAAAGCTAAAATTGTAATTGGTATAATTTATATAGCAGTGTAGTCGTTGAAACATTTACATGATTTTAATATCACTAATTTAACCTTGTAAAATGTTTTACATATAAGTTATACATGCGATTTCTATATTTTTTGTTTTATTTTATTTCATTTCTATCTTTACATAATAAAATTCATTATAAAACCAACTGAGTAATAGAATTATTAATTAAAATGACCGCTGTCCACTCTACGGCTATATTAAGTAATATGCATTGCAATAACTTAAATCCACTGATTGAATATACAAAGTTTGTTATATACTTTTGTTTATATTATATAATTAGTTGAAAATTAATTAATTAGAAATTCTAGTAATTTATTTAATTAATGTACATTTTTAATTTTGTATATATTTCATTTGAATTTTGCCACCTTAACCTGATAGTAAATGATACAGGTTCATATCAAACGTTTAACTAATACTACCTGGCCTGATTTGTTAGGTTTATTACCCTTGATCATGTTAGTTTTTTGTTTTAAATTGTTTTATTATATAAATAAAAATAAAATTCAATCAGTGTGCGTTATATTTTTTAATTAATTACATGTAATTAAATTAAATGCATATTAATAATTATGAAACTATAAGAAGTTAAAATATTATACGTTATATTTTATCTTAACCACTAATTTAAAACTAGTGGACACTCTAGTTGAATGAATTAAATAAATAATACACTCTTTTGAAGAGACATTTATTCCAAGAAATACATATTCAAAATTTTATATTATTTATCAAACTGTAATTATTAATACGATTATTTTTTCTATTATTTATAATGTAAAAAATTAAATACATTTGGCATAAAGTGTAGAAACTTCTAAATAATTACTCATCCTTTCTACTATAAAAATATTTATACAAACAATGTATATTTGAAACAAATGTTATTTTAAACTTACAAACAGTAAATAAATTAATTTCACAATAATATAATGTACAATGTATATTGATGTATATAATGTATATTGATTAAGAATTTAATTCTTTTGGTGCGAGAAAGATCCATTATATATTGAAATTAATTTTATTATTATAACTAACTAATTATAAAACTGTAATTATATAAAAATATTTTACATTATAATTCATCTTGATTAATAAATTAAACCTATTGGAAACTTGAGGTGAGTGTCAATTGTTCACAAAATACATAATTATATATTATACATTGATGTAATTAATTTAATTAAGGTCGTTTTAAACTGGCTCAAAGGCAATATAAATTTAACAATTACAATAACCGACTCCATTCAACTTTTTACATCTCACAACGATATAGATAATTAACAAAGTTAAAATTGTAAATGATATAATTGATATTGCTTTATTTGTCGAAAAAAATCCATATTTTTAGTATAACTAATTTAACCTTGTCAAATGTTTTGTATACAATCTACACATATTTCTAATGTGATTAACATATTGAATTATGCAAATATAATATTTTGTATTCATTATGGATCTAGATCTCAATACTATCATTTTTATTTTATATAATAAAACTAATCATAAAACCAATTGCGTAACAAGATTATTAATTAAAGTGGCCGCTGGCCACTCTACAGCTATATTAAGTTATATGCAATGCAATAAATAATGCCTGTGCCTATTAATTAGATTTAAATATTAAGAACACATTTTTAAATTTGTTACAGTTTTTAAATATAATAATTTATAATTATTTTTATTGAAAATTAACTTAATGAAGGAAAAACTAATGACTAATTATTTATTCTTATAAATAAGATATTCTTGAAAATCAAATTGTATTTAGTATTTTTCAGTAGCATCAAGTACTTGGCACAATCACGGAATTAATTTAAATATGTTACTGAAATTATAAAAGCTAAAATGTAACAGGAAAATATTAGAAATTATATTTGAAAAATTATTATCTACAAACTGTAATTCAAACACATTTTTGTTTTAAATAATCTACAATGGTTAATAATTAAATTTGGTTGGGAGAGTAAGCGCACAATAAATTTTACTTTTTTTAAGCAATATTATAAACTTTTATAAAAATGAATTATTCGGAATCTTGAATAATAATGAACCTTGCTAACTAATTGTATTGTGAAATGCTTAATGTCTAAACTCGTGTCTTTTACCTTGATCATTAACTTTAGTTTATAGAACATAAAATCCTTATTATTTACAGAATTTAATAATTTACATTAAATTATATTTTATTATAAATATTTAGCAACATAATAATCAAATAAAGTTTTTGTTAGATAATAGCATTTTAGTTAAATTTACTTTTTCATAGAAGCTTAAATATTTTACGTTATATTTAATTTTGATCATTATTTTAAATCTAGTGAATACTCGAACCATATTATGCATTATAATTTGATTTCATTATTTAAAAATATCTTAGCAATTTCTCTACGTCAAACCAATAAATTTAATTTACTTATCAATGTTGATTATTCAAGTATAAATGGACTTTATTTACTGTTTCTACATTGTCAATTATTAAATATTATGATAAAATATTTCTTAAATCACAATAATTTAACAAAAAAATACTAAATTAAAAATAATAACAATTTATTGAAAATAATTCTAAAATATGTTCACACGCTAGGCAAACATATGCAAATATTATGAATTAAGACATATAACAAAGCTTAAATTTGTAATTAATTACAGTTTCTCAAATGATCATTTTGGTTAAAATGATTACTTTTTATAAAAA